GGGGGGGGCGGCGGGGGGAGGCGGCGGTGGTCCAGCCTGCGTGAGGGGCGCCAGGGCCCCGGTAAGGCCTCGGCTGGAGATGGGCTCCGGGGCGGTGAGAGCGGTGGGGCAGAGCCCTCCTCGTCGTGGGGCCATGCCTCACCCCGGGGCACTCGGTCCCTTCCGCTCAGGGTCCCTGGGGCTGGCTCTCTCCCCTCTTGCTGCTGTCAGTGCTGGCTGGTGGTCGCTGGAGGTGGAGGGGCCAGGTGGGCTACGGGGGGCTGGGCGCAGGGCAGGACTGTGCCATGGCTGTCCTGCTCGGGGCAGGGTTTGGGCTGAGCTCTGTGAAACTTTTATTTTCAGGGCTGGAGCATTTCAAACCTCTCACTGTAGGCTTAGCCAGCACCTCAGCGCAGACACAGGTCTTTGGTCCCAAAATGCATCTTTGTCCAGGCTCTTTTTGTAAGGCTGGCCTCTAATTTGCGACTTTCTTCCTTGTGCAGTCAGGTGGATTCAGGCAGACCCCAGGAATCGGGTAATCTCGGCCAGGACTCAGGAGAAATGTCGCAACAACTCCTCTACCGTGCTCTGGTGTCTGCAAAATGGCTTTCAGAAGCCATCAAGTCCCAGCAAGCTGGTCTGGCCTTGAGAATTGTGGATGCATCCTGGTATTTGCCGAAGATGAAGCGTGACCCAAAGCGGGAATTTGAGGAGCGCCATATCCCTGGTGCAGTTTTCTTTGACATTGACCATTGCAGCGACCGTACTTCACCTTACGATCATATGCTGCCCAAGGCTGATGACTTTGCTGAGTATGTGGGGAAGCTGGGTGTGGGGAATGATTCCCATGTTGTGGTGTATGATGGCAGCGACCAAGGTCTCTTCTCAGCGCCCCGGGTGTGGTGGATGTTCCGGGCCTTCGGACATGAAGCTGTCTCCCTTCTGGATGGTGGCCTGAAGAACTGGCAGCGAGAAGGGAATGCGCTGAGCTCTGGGAAAAGCCAGGTAGCTCCCTCCGAGTTCCACGCCTCCTTGGAGAAGTCACTGGTGAAAACGTATGAGGACGTCTTAGATAACTTGGATTCCCACCGCTTCCAACTAGTGGATGCACGCGCTGCAGGACGGTTCCGGGGAGTAGAGCCAGAGCCCCGAGATGGTAATGTGCCTCCTGAGATACTGGCATAATAAAAAGGGGCTTCATTTAAGGTGCCCATGAGTTTGACCCCTGTAGAGGTAATGAAGGGAAATGTGGTTGTCCTTTATGGGATGGGACTTGAAGCAGTGTATCCACCTGTCCTCCTCTCCTTTTAACTAGCAAGTGCTGCTCTTTGAAAATTCAGGAGTAGGGAAGCTGTGTATTTTTTTTCTCCTGAGGGGCACTGGGGTGAGGAACGTAGCTTTCATATACCTCAAAGATATTGGTCTCTTCATGTACTGGTGCTACTCTTCCCCTCAGAAGGGCCTGTGGAGGTGCTTCAGTCAGTGCCTCATCAGAGTGGGTTGCTCTGATGTGGGGAAGATGTGGGGGGAACTGGGAGGAAGAACAGAACTTGACAGGATTGTGTCCATGTGGTAACCTGAAGATTAGAGCCATCCTTCCTGAGTGTCATGGTTTAACCTCAGTTGGCAACTGAGCACCACACAGCCACTTGCTCACTCCCCCCCTCCCCGGTGAGAAGGGGGAGAGAATTCGAAGAGTAGAAGTGAGAAAACTCGTGGGTTGAGATAAAAACAGTTTAATAATTGAAATAAAATAATAATAATAATATACAAAACAAGTGATGCACAATGCAGTTGCTCGCCACCCACCGACTGATGCCCAGCCAGTCCCTGAGCAGTGGCCCCCCCAGCCAGCTTTCCCCCAGTTCATGTACTGAGCATGACGTCACACGGTATGGAATATCCCTTTGGCCAGTTTGGGTCAGCTGTCCTGGCTGTGCCCCCTCCCAGCTTCTTGTGCACCTCCAGCCTTCTCAGTCGGTAGAGCATGGGAAGCTGAAAAGTCCTTGACTAGTGTAAGCACTGCTTAGCAACAACTAAAACTTCGGTGCGTTATCAACATTGTTCTCATCCTAAATCCAAAACACAGCACTGTACCAGCTACTAGGAAGGAAATTAGCTCTATCCTTGCCAAAACCAGGACACTGAGTAATTAGTAATCTAGTAAAGCAAAGTTTAACAAAAATAAATGTATTTGTTTTAACAAAATACACTAAACAATAAATATTCCTCCCAGTGAAACAGAGAACGGGTTTTGCAATGGATTTATCGCAGACAATAGAGGTTAATTCCTATCTGTATTGCTTTTCCTCCAGGAATTGAGCCTGGTCATGTCCCTGGATCGATGAACATCCCCTTCACCGATTTCCTCACAGAGTCTGGCTTAGAGAAGACCCCTGAGCAGATCCGCAGTCTGTTCCAGGAGAAGAAGGTGGACCTCTTAAAGCCGATGGTAGCCACGTGTGGCTCTGGTGTCACTGCCTGCCATGTGGCTCTGGGGGCATACCTCTGTGGCAAACCAGATGTCGCGGTATATGATGGGGCCTGGGTGGAATGGTACATGCGGGCACAGCCGGAAAACATTATTTCTGAGGGAAAGGGGAAGACAGTGTAATAAGCTGCTTCGTCTCCCACTTGAGCTGATAATTTGCCTTGAAACAGGATTTGGAAAAGATGGGTTTAGCATTCCTGGTTAAGTGTCTTGAGGTGAAGGTGTTGGGTAACAAGTACAGGCACATGGTGCTTTGGCACTTTCTCCTTAGCCTACTGCTGCTGCTTCAGAACATAAAGATGAGCTGGGCAGCCAGCTCTAGGTGACCCTGCTTGAGCAGGTAGGGTGAACCAGATGTCCTCCCAAGGTCACTTCCAACCTCAGCCGTTCTGTGATTCTGTGACCTCCCAAGGTTTCCAGCCTCAGCCGTTCTGTGATTCTGTGACCTTTTTACTGATGGAAGGGAGAGAGTGCTGCATGGGGAAGTAATTGAGTCAAGCCAAGCTCATGACTCGGGACTCGGCACCTGACCTTTTTACTGATGGAAGGGAGAGAGTGCTGGTGGCAGCATGGGGAAGTAATTGAGTCAAGCCAAGCTCATGACTCGGGACATTCCACCATGTTCACTCACAGGATGGTCATACTTGTATAACTGTGCCTCATGATCCTGCTCTCTGCCTCTGTCCTAGAAGCCATCCGTGCACTTTATGGCCATTTTGAGTGCAAAACTTCGGGGAAAGACATAGCTGTTAAAGGAGCAAATATGGCTTCCAGGTTGGCACTTAGGTTAGAGACTTGATTTGGATTTCTTAGTCTACAGCACTTCTTCTTGCACTTGGACTGTAACTGCAATGTGTACTTAGCCAGTTTTGTACCCCCATGGTCCAAAATCCCCCTTGGGAAAAATAAAAGATTCTGAGATTAAAAAAGGGTAAATAAACATGTGTTTCAAGGTCTTTCTGCTGAATGGAACTTATGCGAGTGTTGCTTGGGTGATTCCTTTTCAGGAACTATTTTTATGGGATCCCTTTGTCTTGATTCAAATGAGATGTTTCCTTCTCTCCATGAGTAGAACTATGTCTCTTACCCTCAACAAGCTCTTTGGCCTAGGAAATACAATGGCATGCCTCTCTCTTGGGAATTTTCACCATCTTCCTCCTTCCAGTCCTTGTCCATTTGCTTTTTGGCCTAAAACTCCATGTCAGTCACAGCTCTGTTCTTCAGAGACTGGATGTCAGCTCACATGGTGAAAATTGGACTGCATGGGTGTTTCCATTCTTTCTATGAGACTTACTATGTAATCTTAAAAAACTTAGGGGAACTGAGACCTACAGAGGAATAGCCCACAATGGCACGTATTTTTCCTCAAGACCATTGTCCTATATCTGAGAGTTGAAATCCTCCCAGGTATCCCTGACAAAGTTCAAGAATTTGTTCTCTTCTAGGATTTTCTCTTCTAAAAAAAAAAAGAAAGCCTGCACCTATTCTGGCCCACTGGTAACTTAGAAAGTTAATGAGGCAGGTTCTGCTCTTGGGCTTGCAGCAACAGATACCTGTGGACATCAGGATAATGGGGTCATCCTTTCTAGGGGATGCTATGGATGCTTACGGTCACAGATTTGCAGGGTCCCCTCCTCGGCACTAAATACAAAGGCTGGATCCTTTCCTATTGGAGAGTGTTTATTCTTCGCATTTCCTTTGGCCTCTGTTGGCTGCAGCCCTGGCTTCTTCCTGGGCTTGGCTTGCATGGACACAAGCTCCATTTCTGCTCACCTCCTGTGGAGCTAGAGTTTCACTGTCCAGATGATTTCTTCCTCTGTCCTCTCCACCCACACATACAGCCTGACCCTTCTTTCCACCTGTTTCCAGTGACTGAAAGCATTCAATTTCCCTACTAACAGTCTAACAGCCTAGCTCTTCAGGGACTTGGGGCTGGCCTTACAGCAAGTGCTGAGCATACAGAGTGCACAGGGGTCTGAAATGATTGACCCTTTAGTAGGCGGTGCAAGACACAGATCTGGATAAAACAATAAACCTTTATATTTGCCAGCTTCCGTTTAGTTCTTTGGGCTTAGACTTCCCAAAAGGGCTTCCTTTGCAGGTTACAGCATGCTCTGCAAATTGTTAAGACTTTCGGTTCTGGATCTAATTGATGGTTTAATTAATTTTCTTCTCCTTTCTGGTAGGGAAAGGTTTCCTACTCTCATGCTTTATGAATTGCCCGACCCAGGTAATCACTGTGTTTTTAAAGGCTGGTAGCAACACCTTCCTTAATCCCAAGTGGGTTAATTTTCTAGCAACTGTTTCCTGCAGGGGAAAGGAAGAACTAGTCAGCATGTCATCCAGGACATCTGATTGCAGTCTGTAACTGAGGGCATTAAAAAAACCTAAAACTTTTTAAGCTGAAATATGGTGTTGATGTGAAAACAAAAGGATAAGCACTGGCTGGGGTGACTGGCTGGGAACAGCAAGTGTTGCTTAAACTCTCTGTGGAGGGGCCTCCCAATCTGAGCAACAGGGGTGTTGCTTTTTAAGACGCTTTAACTTAAAGATATTTGTATAGTGTTTTCTACTATGGGATCTTACAGCAGGATCTGGCTTGTGACATCTTTTTAGTTCAGGATTTCTAGCTTCTCTCACCATCAGCCAAGCTAAGAGGCTTTCACGGGGTGGGTCATTAAGATTTAATACCCTGGGTGTGGCTGAGAGGTTGGGCTGCTTTTGTCAATATGTGGCCAGGCCCCTATGTACAAACAGGAGTGCTGTGCCTGCTCTGTTTCTCCAGAAAAATTTAGTTATTGGAGAGAAAATTGACATACTCTTTCAGACTTTGTTAGTCATTTGCAATGGATGCAGGGGGCTGGCTTTTGGTCTTGTCTTTCCAGAACATTCGGCAATGCAGCTTAAGCGCTGTGTTCCTTTTTTCCCACTGACCCCAGCAGTCCCTGGGGTCAGTGGGAATCTCTCTGCTTCCTCTTGAGACTGAGCTGCTTTTCTCTGTCCCGTGTGTCACAGGGAGGTGTCTGGTGCAGCCCAACCATCCACCTGGAGATCACAAACTGAGTGAAAGATTTCCTTCTCCCATTCTCTATATTTTGACTGTGTGGCTCGATGACATCCAGCAGGGCTCTTCCACCACTCTGGTATGTGTGCCAAGGTTGGCAGTACTTAACTGCCCTTCTTCTGGCTGGGTTTTGAACCACAAAATCTCAGCGGTTCTTCAGTTTCCCAGCTTTTGGCAAATCTTTTACCAGATGCTTAGCTTTGCCTTGATTTCCCCACAGAGAAGAAATGGAGAACTTCCTCCCCACGATAAGATATTTTGTCTTTCTGGGGTATGGCCTGTTACATCATATCTCAAAAAACTGTCCAAGAGTGTCTTCTGATATTCTCCCTCCTTTTAGCTGAGATCTGTTCTCACGCTGCAGGCAAAGCACTGGGAACAGCCCTGATGTAGGAATAGGGTCACATTGACCTGTGGCTAACTTAAGACTGGAGCTTTTACAGCTCTCTATATAAATTTGAGAATCCCAGGCCAGCATGTAAACTCTTTATTGGTTTATTGGTGTATTTTACTCTCCGTAATACTTTGTCCTGAAGCAGTTTTGGACTCTGTGAAAACAGTCTGGTCAATGATTCTCCAACAGTAATCCCACAGTCCCTTGTTCCTCATATGTCTCCTTTGTCTCCTGCCTTCCTCTTCCTTCCCTACCGCTGCCTAGCAGTCAGGTTGCACTATTTCACACTTCATTTCCCAGCGAACCTTTTGTTCCCCTGCAAACTTTCCCAAATCAGCCCTTCTTCTGCCAGCACTGCTGTCCCTTCCCACTAACAACCACTGCACGAGCAATGGTAATCATCATTACCTGCAGGCGCTTTTCTTGTTCCTCCTGTCTGTCCTGGTCCCAGCTCACAACCACGTGCTAAGTGACTCTTTTCTCTCCTCCTCCTAGCCCTCTTCCAGCAGAGGTGCTACGTGATGCACACACACACACACAGACTTTACGCACTATTTTGAATGCAGGTACATTGGTCACAGACCACATGAAGCACAAGGAGCTGGAGAAAGATTAGCTCACCTGCATGCCATGGGACCTTTCTTTTCCAGCTCCGATATGCCTGGCTCAGCTGGTGGTCAAGCTGGGCTCTTTTGGCTACGAGTGAACTGCCTTCCTCCCTCCCCCAAGTCCAGTGTAGGGAGTTTTCTTTTCCCAGTTCACTGTTGGCTTAATGGCAAATGTCAGAGCATTACTTGTCGTCCCCTCCCCACTTCCTATAGAGAAGAGAGAGGAGATGGTTTCTTCTCCAGTGCCTCATGCCACAGTGTATTCATGAACTAAATGATCACACAAGTTTAATCCCAGATGTGTGTTCCCAGCCTGCCAGAGTGGTGACACTGTCTGTGCCAACACACAGTGATCCCTGCTCCCATTGATGCTCCACAATGCAACAATTCCCTAAGAGCAGCTCTGCAGTGTCAGTGATGCATTGAACGCCATGTACCCAACTGACTCGTCAGGCTGCAACGTATGTGCAGAGTGCTGCAGTGTGTGTAGCTTTCTGCAGGTTTGGCCTGCTGGCTGCTGAACCAAGAAACTCTCAGTTTACCCCCTGCTCTGTTTTCCTCAGCTCTTGCCATCACCTATCTACCCTGTGGCTGCCCAGCTTTTCCTTCCCCCAGTCTATCTGTGCAATTGTCCCCATGATCAACTGGGTACTCAGCAGGGCTGTACGGCATTACAGAGTCACACTGCCCTGTGTAAGCTCTTGCTTGCTGCTGTCTCTCTGTTTCTGTGCATGTGTTTTATATATAGTTATCATCAAAGCAGGAGGAACAGCTATTGGGTTACTTAAATTTATTTCTCCTCTGTTCTATTGTTTAATTTTAATGGACCTTAACGCGGGCATGCTAGTTGCATCTCAGAACTATATCTGGTGACGGTGTGCAAATCAGGCCTGTATTTAGCCCACACCACTGACTCATCATAGCATTTCAGTTGGTAACTCACCCCGGACTGATTTCTTCTTAAAGAGCATTTTCATGTACTATGGGGAATGCCCTGGCCTGGGGGTTTTCCAGTAAAATTTGTGCTGTATGTTGCAGAAAAGCAGGCTCTGGGGATGGGAGTGGTGTACCTTGACCTCTTCCCTTACTTATAGTATACCTCTTTAGATTTACCAACTAACCTTTCACACCATGGCCCTGGGGTGAGCAAGACTTGAAGTGCTGGCCACAGATGGAGGCTGGTATTGATGGAAGAAGGTGTGCTCTGAATACAGACTATTCCTGACCTGTGAGCAGCATTGGCATGGGAGAGCTTGGGGAAGAAGGCGTCGAAAACAAGAGGTTTGACCTAAAAAGGAGCAAGATTCTGAGGGGCTGTGAGAGGAGGAAAGGGAGACAGGGTGAACCCTTGATAGAAGAAGGAAGAAAACTAAGGCAGGGCAAGATTTCTTGGAGGGGCAGATAAGGGGCTATAGGCTGCCACCCAACTACTGCATTCATATCAGAGAGCCACAGTCCTCACCCTAATTCTCTGCTGGAGCTGCGACCAGCACAGACAGGGTCCTGCATCCCTTGTACACCAGAGTGCAGGGCAGAGCTCTCAGGTTTGCCATGGTTTGACTCAGAGACAGAAGTAGGAGGGCAACAGTCCCACAGCCCAGAGCTGTGTTGCACTGTATGATGCTTCAGCTCAGGTCAGTGTTAGTCTGAGCATCTTTGATGCCCACCACTGCTCAGTGGAGACTGGTCCAAGGGCTGGGCACTAATTTGGGCCAAAGTCTGCTCCATACAGGTAGGCAAAAGTAATTTTTCATCCTCTCCCTATTATTGGTCACTCTGGTGCTGGCCAGCTCCTGATATAAATTAAAGGGGATCTAGAGTTATTTGAATTTACAACCTGCAGAAGCTGAATTGTTCCTGTGCTTAAATTAGCTGGAGGTCAGCAATCTTGAAACCTTTTCTGTGTTACCCTCTCTTCCCCTCCTCCCCTTTGCGCTCCTCCACAGAAGGAGCAAAGTACACACTTACACAGTCTTTGTGAAGGAAGTCCTGGGTGATTTGGGGGAAGGGTGATGCTGCCTTCACAGCCTGTAACGATAAAAGGGAGTGATCTGTAAGTAGAAGAAGAGGGAAGGACTAAAAGAAAAGGAATATAAGAAAGAGTAAAACATAATTTTTCTCTTTATCCATCCTCTTCCTCCAATAAACCCCCACCTCAAAAGATGCAAAGATCTAGGTGCAAGAACAATTAAGTGTCTGCAAGGCACCACGCTGTCTCTGCAGTGCTGCATTGCTCTGGCAAGGAAGAGCCAGAAAGTTGCTTAGGTGAAGGAAGGCTTTGGGCCACATTCGGGTGAAACATCAGCCTTTCCATTCTTAATATGCTCGAGCTACTGGCAAGCACGGCTGTGCTTAGGTGGGAGTGGGAAAAGCAGAGCTGCTGGAGAGAGAGCTCGTTCAGGTTGTGTCCATGCCAAGGAGTGCATTTGAACAGAGTCCCATGGGGCATGAGTTGCTGAGCTCCAGGCTCGGCCTGGCAGGAGCGAGTGGCAGAGGGAAGGCTAGATTCAGTACGGCAGGATTGGCACATCGGCCTCAGTGGGTGATGTGTGCCTGGGGCAGAGGTAAAACTCCACACAGAGCTAAGTTAAAATCTGAGCTCTCTGTTGCCCAGACACAAACAGGGATGGCAGGAGTACAGGGGAAGGACGCAGGGGGTCTCTATCTGGCATGGTTTGTGCTGGTAGGACAGCACTGGAGGGGGGGTTGCTGAGTCAGCGACTTTTCCGAGGTGGAAGAGAAATTATTTCTGCCCCCTGCCAGCACTTCACGCAGATCCAGGATACAGTTCCCAGAAATGTCCCTACATATGTTATCAAGAAGGCAACAGTCTGCACATTTTGCAGCAAGAACAGCGTGGCAACTGATGCAGCACTGAGCTGTAAGCCTGGGGTAATGGATCTCCTGACGGGAAAGCTGTGGAGTACAGCGCTGATGAGCTTTATCTGCTGACTGCCAGGGAGCAGGTTGTTCTTCCTGACTCCGAAGAAGCTTGCAGGCAAGAACCAGGACTGGAAGCCGGCAGACTACCCCCGCAGGGCTGGGGTCATGTAGTACAGTGCAGCCCCCTTCATTACAGCAGGGACAGCGGGCTGGGAAAACTACAATTCCCAGCACCCTTTTGTGCATGTCCCTGCAAACTACAGTTCCCAGAACCTTTTAATGAGCCAGAGAGGATGTCTATGGAAATAAACGCCGACGATTTTTGCATAGCACCCTGCACCTCCGAAGTGGTGGCCGGCCCTTGGTTGGTGAAAACGGGAACAGGGGAAAAGCCAGGGCACGTCAGCGCTGTGGAGCTGTGGTTTTGCCCACCCCTAATAGCCGCAGCGATAACCTCCAGCACAGAGCATCCTTCCTCCCCTCAGGACTCCCTTGGCGGTCACAGGGAGGACTCTGGCCCCCAAGAAACACAGCTGCTGCGGGAGGAGAGGCAGATAAACTACAGATCCCAGCATTCTCCGGCAGGCAGCACCTGCGGCAGTTACCGCACGCCGGGG